CAGATCATCACGAAAACATTAAGCTCTGCTTTCGCTCCACAGATGCTGCCAGACCTGCTGAGTTTCTCCAGCACTTTCTGTTTTTGTTTCAGATTTCCAAAATCCACAGTATTTTACTTCTAACCAACTCATGCAGAAATGAGTCTGCACTGTTTAAATTGTACAGTCTCTGGGCCAATAGGATGGGCATTGGATTAGCAATTATTATGTTGTTAAAAATTACCCATCTGTGGAACTGAGGCAAGAATCTGTGGACAATAATTATAAAAGATCTTTATAGAATCATAAGATTAAATGAGTTACAACAGTAAAAAGGCAAAATTAACAGATCTTTTCTTGAATGCTCATTGTATTCAGAACAACATAGATGAATTAATGGCTCAAATACAGCTTAATAGGTATGCTGTTACAGACACAAAGGAGATTTGGTTACAAGGAGACCAAAGCTGGAAACTAAATATTCAGGGGTCTGTGATTTTTCAAAAGGAAGGGATGGTGGTGTGGTAGCTGAGCTGATATACTCCATTGTAAAATGACAAATGTATACTTTTCAAAGATTAATATGGCAAGAAAGCGAGCAAGATTCACTAAAATGATGCCAGAAATTCAACTGGATTTGCCCTATAAATACAGTGGCTACGAGCACAGGTCAGGACATTTGACACACATCCACAAGCATCCACTCCTTCCACCACCGACACTCAGTAGCAGCAGTGTGTACTATCCACAAGATGTGCTGCAGATATTCACCAAACAGCCTCTGACAGCACCTTCCAAACCCACGACCACTTCCATCTAGAAGGACAAGGGCAGCAGATATATGGGAACACCACCTCCTGCAAGTTCCTCTCCAAGCCAATCACAATCCTGACTTGGAAATATATCACCGTTCTTTCACTGTTGCTGCATGAAAATCCTGGAATTCCCTCCCTAAGGGCATTGTGGGTCAACCCACAGCACATGGACTGCAGTGGTTTAAGAAGGCAGCTCACCCCCACCTTCTCAAGGGGCAACTAGGGACAAGGAATAAATGCTGTCATCCTGAGAAAGGATAAAGTCTTTGACGGTTAAATTAAGAGGAGCGATTGCACAAACGAATATCATATTCCATGGAATTTAGAAGTTGACGGGGTGATTTCATCAAAGTTTTCAAGATATTAAGAGGAATTGATGGGGTAAGCCAGAATTTTTTTTCCTTTAATCAGTAATGGGATAAGGGCGTCACTGGCACGGGAGCATTTATTGCCCATCCCTAATTGCCCAGAGTCAACCACATTACTGTGGGTCTGGAGTCACATGTACCCCCAGACCCGGTAAGGATGGCAATTTCCTTTACTAAAGGACATTAGTGAACCAGATGTGTTTTTCCAACACTCAATAATGGTCATCATTAGATTCTTAATTCCATACTTTTAGAATTGAATTGAAATCCCACCATCTGCCATGGTGAGATTCAAACCCAGCTTCCCCCAGAACATTACCTGGGTCTCTGGGTTAACAGTTCAGTGATAATACCACTGGGCCATTGCCTCCCGCTGTGAGCAAAGAGTCCAGGTCTGAGAGACACCTAAAAATTAGAATTAGACCCGTCAGGAGTAACATGCACAAAATTTCTCTGACCCTGGTGTAACTTTACCAAATGTCAATGACTGAAGATGTTTACATGGGCCTGTGGGATGTTGTATGATCTTAATTACTCTGTGACATTTTACTTTAATCCACTCAATCAAATTTGAATGAAATGCAACTGAGACAGCGCTTACAGTAAAGTGAACAATGAGTATTGTGTACTGAGTGACTGCCAAATCTGTGCCACAGCTGGGCTAATCCAGTCATGCAGTTGGTTTTAGATAACCCTCGAAACAGTTTATATGCAAATTTCCATGTCTCATGCTCCACCCACACAGTCTTCTCTTCCTGTCTCTTGAGAATTTTGATATTTATCAGCTCATGCTTCATCCACCTCATCATAGAGTTTCTCAGGGTTAATTGTGGACATTTGGCTTATTGTTCACCTATCGACCTTTTCCCAGCTCAATGCCAAACTTACCTCACAGCCTTGCTGTCACTCCATAGCCATGTCCAAATTCCAAACCTCTCTGCCCTGCTGTCTCCCCATAATCTCCTATCAATCCCAAACTGATCCCACTGCCCTGCTGTCTCCCCATGACGTTCTATCAATCCCGAACTGATCCCACTGCCCTGCTGTCTCCCCATAACCTACTATCAATCCTGAACTGATCCCACTGCCCTGCTGTCTCCCCATAGCCTCTATCAATCCCAAACTAACCCCACTGCCCTGCTGTCTCCCCATAACCTTCTATCAATCCCAAACTGATCCCACTGCCCTGCTGTCTCCCCATAA